GTAAGAAGCATTTCCTCATTCATACTCTAGTTATCCCTGCCGCTCTTCTTCTTCTCAGAGGTGTGATGGCCCTGCACTGGTGGTGGGATTTGGGAAGCAGTAGTAAGGAGGGTGGCCTTCCTGCTTTGCATTTAGCACAGGACAGATCCCTCAAGGGAAGGTTCTGGCTTTCAATTCAGATGCCTGACCCACAAGGACACCTGACCCACACATCAACCTTTGTTTCCATAAGGCTGAGCACTTAGTAATATGGGGAAATGTCTTAAAAACCAAGATCTGAAAACAAATATTGAGCCAAGAAAGGATATTCTGTAAGAGACTTTAAAGTGGGACACTGCTTTAGAAGCTGAGAATAAAGAAGCTGAAGTATTTTGTTGCTCCCTTGTGGACAAAGCCAGTACTGCTGGTGGAGCAGAACCACACTGCCCGTGTCAAGAAAAGAGGAAACGGCATACTCAAACTCGCAGAAGATTGAGAATTCATCTGAGGCTGCCTATGTATGGTTGGGGATACAACTCTAGCAGGAAACACCAAAATTATGCCACATAGTTTCTTTCTTTTTCACTTTTGGAAATAGTCTCAGGAGTTGAATGATCAAGCATAGAAAAGGTATTTCTAGGTCAAGTTAGAGATTCTAAGAGAGTAAAGTATTTCCCCATGAGCTTTCAAATGCAGTTAAACATAGCCTCAAGTCCTATGCAGAAAGTGAGTTGGAGTCTCTGGCCTTGCAATCACACAGTCCCCTTCCACCCATAAAAGGCAGGTAAGAAGGAAGCTGTGTTTGTCAAGGGGGCTGGATATTTAGAAACAACGGGACTCTTTGGCGCATCCACTACAGAGACAGGCTCTTTGGTTGACCAAACCCAACAACACAAGTACCAGATTTCCTTCCAAGTTTGGAAGGAAAATTCAGCTCCTACCCTTTCCTGCCCTGTCCCCCAAATCATTTTCAAGTAATTTGTAATATCCCGGATCTCATCAGGGAAGCTCAGATAGTGTGAAACTAGAAAGTGGAGGTGACACTTCTCCGGGGCAAAGATACCTGTGCCAAATGTCTCATACAGACATGGACATGAAACAAGTCAAGTCTGTCTCAGGGATGTGGCTCCTCAGTGTGAGCCCCCCATCGCTGCCACTGCTGTACTGCCTGAGAATCCCAGGAGGAAAGCCAGATCTACACAGTGGTTGCTTTCGGTAGAAAGTTACTACATTAAAGAGGCAAACTTCTAGGTCAATAAAGGGGACTACCAAGGCATATTAGAGTAAAAAGATTTAAAACAACAAGAAACTTTCGTTACTTATTTCTGTAGAAATCAACTTTTTGCATTTTGTAAACTAGTATTCCCATTCCAAATAGCCACTGAAATCTTCAAATGTCTAGAACGTATTCATTATCAAACATAAGCATTCTCACAATTTTGCACTATCCCATCAATAACATACTGTCACCAGATAAAAAGCAGTAAGAATTTATTAACAGCTGCCTTCTTAGACTCCCACTTCATGTGGTTATTAGTTAGTCTTGAAAACCTGAGTACTAGAATTATTAACTTTAAGGAAAGAGACATGACATTTCAAGTCAGAAAGGAAAGATTTTGACTAAGGCCAATATACTCAACTCAACAGCCTTCTTTTACTTAAAAAAAAAAAAAGGCAATCTAATTTCCTTATTTGAAAGAATTGAATTTGTTTTCAGTTTTGGAGGAGAACTGAAAGGGAGCAAGAGACCTGTACACAGCACAGACTACAGTGTTGACCGTGAAAGGTGAGCCAATGACTAAAACGTTTTTATCAATAAGGTGCTCATATCACATGGAGAATACAAAGAAACCTCCTTCTTATTACATCCTTCATATATTACGTATCAACAATATTTTAAAAATTAATTAGATGAGAACAGTAGAAGAGAAAGTAACTGGAAGTTTTTGAGGGATAGGATAAGAGGCAGATCAAAAATCAGTAAGGGACTTCTGATAAACCCAGAGCGCAATTTGAAATTAGACTAAAATAAAATTATGAGTACAACCTTGCAAAATGTTTCTAGAACAGAGCGAGCACATAGAAAGAGGGCACAGCAACAGCAGCATTCATGATCCCTTACTCAGAAAGGGGAGGCATTCAGGAAGACTAAGATGAGAAAAAGATGTTTGGAAGAGATACTTAATGACCTTTCATTTGAAAGGAACATCTAGTTTCCGGTGAAAAACACATGAGGAGTAAGATAAGGATAAAATATTTCATCATTAGAGATGTAATACATGAAGAAACAAGATATAAATAAAAGTTTAAAGTGTAATCTAAATGGGGGAACAAAACAGAAATGCATAAAAAATTCACACCCAAGGTTTCAGCGAGCTGGTAGAGACTAATCAACTGGAATATAGGTGCATTCCAATAGTCATGGAGGATGAAATAATCAGAGGTAGGATTCAGATCAGGAAAAGAATGTTCCAGGATGCTGGCTTTTTGAAGGCACTCGAGAACAGAGTGAGAGGGACTGAAGCGGCAGTGAGAGAGATTAGAGAGATGGACACTCACTAATCTGTCATAAGAAGATTAAAAACAACTCCAGGAGCACTGTGACAATACATTTATTACCAAGTTATACACAGAGTCTAACAAGGTAGAAATCCACTTTGTAAGTAGTTTCTGACAATAGTATAGCTTCTACTTAGGGGATAAGGAAGAGAAGTTTGTTTTCTGGATATGCAATTCTGCAAATGATAAATGGTATACTATCTAATTCTTTAAACAAAAGTACTGAGTTACAGCTTCAAAGCTGGGACAATCAAGGAGTGTGATTTTCCTTTGAATATTGCAAAACCTATCCTCTAAGTCAAAAAGATCTGATCACAAAGTCTATAAAAAGTCCAGAGAGTATAAAAGTACAGAACTACGAAAGTAGATATCTTGATGGCAACTTTTATGGCTTCCATAGAAAGTCTAGAGAGGATCTCTGGTTTGCTTTATCGAGGTAGTGTCCAGGGTTGGAAGGTCATTGTTATTTGTCACAAATGCTACAGATGATAGAAGCAGGTTAGCTAGGCTGTTGCCAGTACATAATAATGCCAGTATCTCTTAATGGCTAATGACCTTTCATTCCTAAAAAAAGAAAGAAAGAAAGATCTTTTGGGAAATTTCCTATCTTGGTTCAGGCAAAGGAAAATTAAAACCCAATATTTACTTGCTCAATTTTAATAGTCTGAAGAAATCCAAGTGAGTTGATTTTTGTAATGGGACATAGTTCATAAAATTCCTAAATGTAATTTATCCCTTTTTCATCAAATACTTCCCATACCATCTGGAACAGCATCAAAATGTTCATCATGTTGGTCAGCAACATAATAATAAAAGTTGTCTCTTCTATACAGTAGCTCAAACAGAAGGGTTTCTCTAACTTTAGTTTTTCTCTCTTTTTTCAGTCATTAAAATCCCACCCACCATTCTGTATTTCATTAACTGAAAACTTTAAGATGTGGTAAATACACACACACACACAGACACACAGACACACACATATATATAAACACACACATCTGCAATGAATTTCTGTTTCTGCTTGATTTTCTTAAAATTTCCAGTGAAATAAAAATTAAACTAAACAAGCATATCCATTCAACAAACATAAAAACTGAAAAAAAAAAGTCAAGAAATAGAAAATCAAAAGTTTACAAGCATCTCTTCAGAGTATTTTGCCTTTAGAATACAAGGGACAATCAACCATATATATAGAGTGTATATAGGGAACATTCTAACCACAGTGAAAATGTTCTTCCAATCAATGTTGGTTTAAGAAAGATGGTATGACTATGGTAATGTCCATACTGTCATTAATTCAGAACAGAAAATGTAAATGGTAGACTGTAAAAGTATATGTAACTGATTTGTAAAGGCTACTGTGAACTATGTAGTGAAGCTTTATGTGGAGACTTCCCTGCCTGCTAAAAATAGGAATCAAATCACAAATATGCATGGAAAGGAAGCCACATGCTTTAAACTGCTCATCTTATTTTCTTCATTCAAATGTAAAAAATATAACTCTGTATAAGCCTGTCCCTCTCAATTTGAGAAAGCAACAAGCAGCCTTTCATTAAGGCTAAGGAAGAGTTTATATTTGAATGACAAATCTACGCGAAAGAATAGAAAAATGTAAAAAGTAAATTAAAAAGCAATTATCAACTAAAGCTGGGAATTTCTAAGTAAGTCTTAATTCTAGCAATGGTACAAGCCTTTGAAGATAGTAAAATTTAAGTCATGAAAAACAGCCTCAATTTGATATCTATATTAATGCTGAAATGTGGCCTTTGTTGTCTTTAAAATTTAAGTACAGATAAGGGCTGAGAACTCAAATTCCTTCAGAGTTCTTTTTTTCATAAACAGATAACAAATAGGTAATAATTTCTGAAGAAGTCACAGGGTGCTGTACTATAGGTGGGAGGGAACACACAACACAACACAACTTTTATCTTAGTAAAGGATCCCAATCAAATCTTTAACCCTGAGTTTGAGTCTTAAGCATGTTAAACCTGATGCACATAAATGTTTAAGGCTTCATCCTGCAGTTCTTCTATTCAGAAACATTGTTATGAATATTCTTAATGCATTTCATTAGGCATATGTAATCTGACACTGATGAACAGCCAATATGCTCTGAGCAGTTTTCCTGAAGACCACAAACCCCAAATCAGGGAAGGTATACTTAACTAGGGGAAAAATTTAGGTTTCCAGATTGTTCCATAATACATTTCACTAAGAATTGTATTGTGTGACAATGCTGAGTTTTTAAAAAAGATAATCCTTTTCTTTTTTTTTTTGCTTCCATTAAGGGTGGTAGTGATTTTTCTGCTTAGTATTGGTTTTCCTATGTAGCAGATATTTTCTTATGGCTATATTCACTTGAATGAAAAAAGAAATATGACTACCTGAATTTTCCAGTGTGTAGTTTATAGTACACCTCATAAAATGGTTGATTCTGTAAGTCTCCAGTTAGAATTCACAACTGCAGCCCAATACTGTAAATTTATTTAGAATAAAATAAGGTATAACCAATTAATTAAGCTCAATTTACATCTTAAAAATCATTTTAATATTATAAGCTTGGACATGAAAAAATGGTATGTCCGCACAAAGGTGTATACCCACAAACTTGTCATGGAATGGAAATTGTGGAAGTAAGGGGAGGCAGCCACTAAAGATAGAGCAGTCATAAATAAAGAATTAGCTTTTCTTATTGGTTTGGGTACTTGAGTGTTCAAAGAATGTATACAAACATTTAAAACAGCATTCTTTAGAAGTTACATCCAAAAATAGGGAGAAAAGTATGATACTGAAGGTACTTTCTTGCCTCACTTCCAAACTTTGCTATGCTCACTATAGAAGACAAAGGCAATAATCAGAAAGAAAAAATTTGGAAGTATTAAACCAAAAAGCTAGCAGAGAATGCAGTATTTTAAAAATAGGGACTTAACCTCAGTGGAGAGTTCCAGTTTTTCCTACCACAGTTTTTCTGAGCTAATAAGCCAGAAAAGTGCTGCAAATATTTCTGCACACTTAATATTAAAAATAAAAAATAAATAAAAGTCAGGGTTCTGAGTCACACAAAGATTTAAAAGCCCGAGGAAAGAAAAATGAAGAAATTTCAAGATTAAAAAAACTGAGGAAGGAAGAGAGAGAGAAAGTAGACTTCGCACTGGAACTCAGTTCACTGACATGAAAAACTACAAAACTTTTAGCTATACTGAGTCTGGATAAATGTGATCAGTTAAAAATAATCTGTTAGCCCTTCTTCTCAACCTTTCCTATAATGAACCCCCGATAGACCATGCTCTTTAGAAGTTACCCAAACTCTTCCAAACCTGCCCCAAATTAGAGATTGGCTCTTCTTATCACCAAGAAGACTGCTACCAGGTAATTACTTGCAGAGGACAGGGCAGCAAAATGTCACGTTCTTTCCCTTACTGCAATTTTAACTGTGTTGAACAGCTTGAAGTTGTGACTATATCCACTGATACAAGAGACATTTTAAAAGTCATAACCCATTTGTGTTCTTATCCAAATTTCTCAGCCACTATCAGCAACATCATGTTTTGATTTTAATGTACTATTTTATCTTTCCACAACAATTCTAGAAAAACAAAGCAACCTCAAAATGAGCAGTGTAGCAGGAGACTTCAATCTGTCATCCCACAAAGGTTGAATCTGAACACAGTTCTGAGGGAAGTGAGACGTGACTGAGATGAAACAGCCTCCCCAACTTCCTCCTCTTGATGGTATACAGCTTGACTCAGATTTTCAAAACAGGCCAGCTTCAGGTGACTTCCCTGGAAAAGGCTCAACCCCCTGCAAATCATTCCATTTAACACACTAACTGAACCAAACAGAGCATGGAGGACAGAGCATGTCCATAAGCCTAACAGACCCCCCAAGTGTTAAGCAGAGATTAAAAAACTACCAAGGACTTACGTCAAGTTCTGAAAGCAAAACCTCATTTTTTGCAGTAACTTGGTCTGGAGACCCTCTGAGATACATCTACTTTCTGAAGCACCTTTGAGTTGTACGGATGTAAGAATAACTTTGAACTATAGAAGTTATATGCATCTTTAAGAATCACATTTTGATGATTATAAAAATTTTTTCTATTTTACAACATAGGTCCAGCTACACTGAAAAAATTACACCGCTTATTGAAATACATTTCATTTTAGAAACAGACTACTAAAGAAGTCTATACAAAAACTCTAAAATAATTTCTGTAGTAAAATAAAGAGTGCATTAGGAGAGCTACACAAAGAAGAAAATTTCTGTCTTTCTCTATAATGCTTGATATACTGTGAAACACAGCTAGCTCAACTCTGAAGCCAGCACCAAAAGCTGAAAATAATTTGTTACGATACACAGTGATACAATTAATGCTCTGGATTAATCTCACAGCCTTCCCGATTAGTACAAAGGAAACCAGGCCTGTCCCCTCTTTGAGGAGAAGTCCAGGATATAAAAGCAAGCATACCTCATCAGCTGATATGAAATTATAAAATTCCACAAGTCTGAGTATTTGAAATTTATAAAAGTCACCAGAAAATGCAAGCAAATTGGGCTTTACTTCGGTGGTTCCCTGGTTTAGATGACAGTTCCCTCCGTGAGCTCAAGGTCTTCTCGTTCACTCCCTCGGATGTGCTGATTCACCAAGACAATGACAAAGCTCCTGGTGGAGGCTGAGGGTCTGACAGCTACAGAAACGCTCACCAACCCCCTCTCTGCAAGCTCACACCGGGGCACGCGACTCGTGGAGAACACACTTAAGGAGATGGATGTTAGTGATGCTGTGCGGCACTGCTCTTCTCTGCCAGGTGCCGCAGAAACGTGTCCTCACCCTGGCCTCTGTTGTTTAAAGGCTCACTCTTAAAGAGAGCTGGAGGTGGGGGGAGGTGAGGGACGGGGGGGATGGGCAGGTGGTGTGGGTGGTGAGGGTGAGCGTGGATGTGAAGGTGTGAGAAGGGGTGCGGGATGGGCCGCGGGGGCAGAGTGCCGACAGGGTTCATACTGACGGGAGGGGCGGGGGTCGTGGGGGTGTTCACCGCAGAAGGAACTGGGGTGGCTGGGGAGGTTGTGAGTGGGATCTGGACAGCAGGCGGCACGTTCACGGGGCTGGTCACCCGGAAGCACTTCTCCTTGTGGGCCTTAAGCATGTTGGAGAAGCGGAACCGCTGGCCGCACACGTCACACGGGTAGGGCTTCTCGCCTGTGTGAGTCCTACGGTGCCTCTTCATGTTGGGGCGGCTGGTGAAGCTTTTGCCACAGATTTCACAGATAAAGGGTTTCTCTCCTGAGATGAACACAGACACAAAGACATGATTAACACTAGGCGGTAAGTATGTGCTCCAGCTACCCCTCACATTAAATAAGGAGGTTACCACTCCTCTCCCTTACTGCATGTTATATTCTAATAGTCATAAAAGAGTCCCCCAAAGTTGGGACTTCACAAAAAACAGCAGACACAACTAAAACTTACATACAACCTACCATTGGGGCTTGGTTAAAAGAAGATAAAAAAAAAAAAAGGCATCTACAAAAGTGAGCTTCCATATCCTACAGGAAGAAGTGGTTAGATGGCTTTCCTGTGCTCAAGGGGACCAAGCCCACAGATGAATCTCTGCTTTTAAGCTAGGCAAGCTGATCTGTAGGCAATTTCTGACATTCCAACCCAAAGTAGAACTTTGCTGAAAATGTCCCATGGAGTAAATAAGTCCCCTTATGTCAACTCGTACCTAATCCACAGCATGTGGCTTACTTTCTGGTATCTGGGGAAATGCTGGACTGACTCACCCTACAACACGGCTTTCACAGTGCAGTGTTTCTCTACCACATGGGACTGTCTGCAAGCCTGAAGAGCACTCGGTAGTCCTGGCTCCGGTCTACTAAATGCCCCCAAGACATCCTGACCATCAAAACTGTCCCCATACCATTTCCAAATGCCCATGGGTGTGGGGAGGGTTGAAAGGCAGGCTACCGTTCCTGGTGGAGAACCTTTGGGACAGGGACTCAAAAAGGAAACAAAACCCTGTAACTCTAAGTGCGCCTAGGGAGGAACTTGGGTTTGGGTTCTAAGGGATTAGTTTTTAAGCTTTCCTTTGGATTTACTGCATAGTGGACTTACTGCTTATTCTATGCTGTTTGCCTGCCCCTCTCCCTCCCTACTGTTTGGGAGAAACAAAATGATGTTTGAACATACATGTCTGTGATCACTTCATCCAGGATGCTGTGGTACGGTGTGAAGTACCTGTACACACGTACGTCAGTGACCATGTGCTTGTTCATCAATGCTCAGTCTATGGAGCTTCTATCTTTACTGCAGCTCCTGCCTCAAGAGTTTGCTCTCACTTCAATCATTGCTCCCTTTCTTTCTAATAGATGTCCTTATTCTACTCAGTATAAATAAAAGCTACTGCATATTGTTCTAATATGCAGTATTACTTACTTACTGTGTTCTAAGATCTCATTAACTTTTGGTGATCCTGACAGTCTTATGAGGGATGTATGCTGTTACCCCTATTTTACTGATGACTAAATTAAGAAACTTGCTAAAGGTTCTATGGCTAGGGCAGAGGCAGGATTGAAAATTCTGCAGAATGGCTCCAGACACAAAAAGCACAGCACTTTACACTCCAATGCTTTGTGCCTTCCTGCACACACAAAGGAATGTTATTTTCTTACTGTTTTCCTCCACTTTGAGATGTCTAACCCTTCGGCAAACACCTCTTTATCCATATTGCAGTCTTTACTTCTCTCTGCCTTTGAAAACAGACATCTCCTGGTGCCCTCCTTCCATGGAAGCCAGAATGGTCCTCACTTCCTGAAGACTGAATTGAGCCGTCAGGACAGACCAGTTTTCTCCACTGTACTATCTGCCGACTATCACTATCTGTACTATCTGCTGACTAGAATATTTCTTTTATCTTCCTACCTTTCATTATTCAATCACTGCCATTCTTCACTGTGATTCACATTCATCTTTCTAGATAAATTCTGTACCCATTTGCTTTCCTTCTTTTTAATCCATTTCCTCCAATTAAAAACTTAAAATTCTACATTAAATGGAACCAATCAATTGTGGTATACTTATCTAACAGAGAGTGTCATTAAAAACAGTATTTTAAAAAGTATAGAAATGTAACTGTTAACATGAAAGTCTATATTATCTGTAGTTTATTAAGTAAAACAAGCAAGTTATGAAAATATGCGCATGTGTTATCAAAATGCATACAGGAAAATATGGAAAAACACAACAAATGTTACAAGTGATTATCTTTAGATAATGGGTTGTTTTATTCTATTTTTTATGCCTATATGTACTTCCTGTTTTCTAAGATAAACATGATTCATTTGTATAATAAAATGTTTTAAAAGCACACCTATCTGATAACCTATTAATCCCCTTGACCCTTTCCTCCTTGACTCTCCAGAGTTAATATTCTTCATTCCTAATAGCCATATGGAACCAGAGCCAAAGGATCTAATCTTTGATTATTAATCTAATACAGGCAAACACTCTCCATTTCACTAATCACTTTGTTGGTTCACTATACATGTTACTCACTGAAAGTTTATTAAATATATGGACATGTAACTTTCTGTTATGTGTTCAAACCTGGGTCCAATACTGGATCGCTCTAATCATCTCTCATTTATAGTCTTCCAGGCTATAATGATTTGCCACAGATAGATCAAAAACTATTAGAATTGGTCTACCACAAATCCACGTAGTCAAATTTAAATGAGTCCTTTGTACTACTTATTAATCTTTTATCCATTTCTTGAGGTCCTACCAAATTTCCCACATTTGCTGTTCGAGATATAAACCCATAATCTCACATAACTCTTAACTCTCATTATTTATTAGACCCCATCTTTTAACTGTGCTAATGACTGATGATAAAGTTTCCCTGAAACCTCAAGGCAAGATTACAATGAGGCTGAAACAAGGAAAAATAAAAATATAATATTTGAAATCAACCACCTGTACAATGTCCTATTTTAAGGAAATGTTAGTAAATGGGTGGCTGGAGGAGGTACTAACATCTTAGTCCATCAAAGTAACTAGAAACACATATATCAATACATCTTATGATGTGACCTAACTGTTACATACAGATAAAGCTAACCTAAATGTAAGAAATAGTATTATAGTGAATCTGAAAAACACATAATATAAATGAAGAGAGAATCTGCAGGGAAGATAAAAAAGAGCAAGAATTTGGCTAGTTAGCTGTCTTCTGCACTGTTCAAAGGAAAAAGTGATCTGGCCAATAAACATAACCACTCTAGTCTGCTTATGAATATCCGTGAGCAGCATCAGAAATCTGTATATCTATATATCTGGCCTACCGTAAGATTACAATCCTTCATCTGGATTACTGCAACAGCCATCTGACTGGTTGCACCTTGTCTATTCTTGCTCCCCACTCTCCAATCCACTCTTCACAGTGTGTAGCCAGAGTGAACTTTCAGACAGTTTTGTCACACTCTGCTTAAAACCATTTAAGGACTTCCAACTGTCCTTAGAACAAAGCTCAAACTTTTCTACATGGCTTATCCTGTGATCCAATACTTCCTTATTGCTCTCAGGTATCATGTCTTACCATATTCCCTGCCTCCTCTCCTGCCCTGATTCGTCAAATTCTAGCCAATTTCATTTAGTTATACTTACTATGCTCTCATCACCAAACCACTGTTAGGCCTTGCTTGTCTATCACCCTAACCTGACAATAAGGTCTGTGAACCTAGGGACTATTTTAGCCTTGTTCAGTACAGTAACCCCATTGAGTAGATTCTTAACCTCAATAAATAAATATTAGTTAATTCTAAGACATGCATTCCCCCCCATATTGACATCTGTGAAACTGATATATACCATAACAATCGATGGCATTTCATTCTTTAATTTGCAGCATTTTCTTAGTGATATATAAACTTAGCTTTGTCATGGAACTGATGACTTCCTGAATTCAATGAAGGTTGGGACTCACCATTAAGATCATTCGATTACCTTCCTTGCCTATAGTTTCCTGTCCCTGATGATCTTGTGATTATAATTTAGCAACTAATATAAATTTTACTTTAGGCAAAGAATATTCTGACCAAAGAACATAGAGTTCTGAACCACCTATCATTCAGCCTTTTCACTGTAAATTAGCAATTTTATTAATATATCATTAAGACTATTTAGCATACACACACACAAAGACTATTTAGCACACACACACACACACACAAAGACTATTTAGCACAGATCAATCCCTCTGATCCTGACTGGGTACGCTGACAAATTCTGCAAGTTGAGAACCAGACTCTGGGATGGTGCTTTTTGCCCTCATGATGTCCTGTGTATCCTTCCATTTTTTTACTTGCTTCATTAAATTTGTATCAGAATAACTAAGTATGTGTTTCTGGAGTCAGACTGCCTTGGACAAGTTCTTTACTCTCTAAGCCTCATCTGAAAAATGAAGATAATAATAGGTTACTGTGATAAGTTAAAAATTTGAGGAAAGTGCTTAGGACAGTATTTGATACACAGTAAACATTCAATGCATTTTAGTGCTACTACTGCTATTATTATTACTATTATTATCATCATTACTATCACTGGACTATAAGCTTTTTGAGGGCAAAAACCAGGCCTTAATTCGTCCTGTATCTCTAGGTACTTAGCACTATGCCTGGTACAAGGAGAATCAGCAATTATTCTATGTTGAACTCACCCCGTGTCCACACCATCCCAGGAAACCCTGCCTGAGGGCTGGTCGCTTCCCTAGATAAGATCTGCCTCACTTCTGTTTAACTGCAAAGAAATAGCCCAATCAATGTCAGTTCCTGCAATGGCCTTAATCCCCACCAAAACACACTCTACAAGTAGTCCAACCAGCCGTAAAAGAGCTATCTTTTTTCTTCTGTAAAAACTAACCCTTCTTGGGTCCTCTCCAAGGTACTACTGTCATCCTTATTTAATATTGATACCAGTGGAACCAGAGGCCTACAGGAGTTGCATAATTCAGGTAAGGTCACACTGCTAGTGAGTGGCAGTGCTTTCCGAGTGTGAGCATCATAAACAATATTAAAAGGCAGATGACAAACCAGGGGGAAGTATTTTAATACTGCTGTTAAACAAGATCCAGGGGACATAAATATATACAAAGAGCTATTATATAAAGAGCTACCACAAACAATAAGAAAAAGCCAAACACTGCAATGAAAGGATGAATACAAAAAAGGCACAAGCAATTCAGAAAAGAAAATATACTGATACCCAACAAGTGTACTGAAAGAAATGTTCCATCTTACTTAGCAATTAAGTACAAATTAACACAAAAAGAAACCATTTTTCACCTATTAATTCAACAATTATTTTATTTACATTGGACAGGGTTGAGAAAATGAGTGTTTTTATGCACAGCTGCTAAGAGTGTATATGGACAGCTATTTGGCAATACATACCACCAAGTCTTAAAAATACACACATCCCTTTGCCCTAATAATCCAATTTCCAGGAATTTATCTAAGTAAATAATCATGGATGTGTTAGCCAGAAAGTTGTTTGTCACAGTACTATTAATAACAGAAAAATTGGAAAAATCTAAATGTCCAATGGGGAACTGGTTAAATAAAATGGAGATAATATCCTTAACAGGACTATGGTAAAGGTTAAATTGATTAAATGAGATAATGTATGCAACGTGCTTAAGATAATACTTGGCATATATGTGCATAATAAATGATGGCTATTATTACAACAAATTTATAAGGACTATTACACAACCATTAAAATGATATTACTGTTAATGACACAATACAGTAAAATAAAAGTAGGTTATAATAGAGCATAAAGACCCAATTTTTGTTTTATTACTATATATGAATATATAAACAGTTTTTCACAGTATCTATATATTAAGAAATTACAGAATTTAAAAAATATATATCCTTAAATGTTAACAGTAGTAATCTTTCACTGATAAGATTATAGATCATTGCAATTTTCATATTTTCTAATATACTTTCATAAGTATGTACTACTACTTTTAATGAGAAGAATAAACATTTAAGTGAATATAAGTGGCTATATTCCTTTAGAAGAAATAGGAAATGTTCAGGTTGCCTATCTGGTCAAAGAAGAATATGTTAAATATATAATATGAAATGTACACTTCAGTTTCATACTCTGGACATTAAGGGCCTGAAGAAAGAAAGAAGGAAAAAGGAGAAAGAAGAAAGAGGAAGAAACACAGAAGGAGAAGGAGAGGAGAAAGTCCAGGGAGCAAGAAGCACAGGGAGACAGGCAGAGAAGAGGCGAGCACAGAGGCAGAGAAGAGGCGAGCACAGAGGCAGAGGCTTACACGGTGGACGTTCCTTCTAGTCTTGCAACAAACATTAACTGGGCATCTACTATGTGCCAAGCACTGTTTGTGAGTGTGAAACAGCTTCTGCCATCAAAAGACTTATTTTCTGCTGAATAGTTTCCTGCTGAATTAACAAAAAACTGTGCCCTAAAACCGACTCAGAACTAAGAGTCTATTCAAGAACCACCAGACTTTAAGGGGAGAACCTGTTAAATACTCTGATATATACTGCTATCTGCTTAGGCTTCAAAGTTAGCATTACCTTTTGAAATGCAATTTACTTAAACTTCTCTCGTGACTCTTCTCTAACTTATTCCTCAAAATCTGAGGTGCTCTGCTCTGAAGGGGAAAGAAGCCCATCAGGCAGGCATTCTTCCTTGGACTTTAAATACAGAAATGGGAACTACAGAGACCCAGACATGGACAGAATTTCCTTACCACTTGTAAGCAGGCTAAGCAAGATAATCTCTTGTGGTTCTTTCTAGTTCTGCTACTCTGCAGACTAATAAAACCTAGAATTCTGTGACTGGATTTTATTTAAAAGCTTGAAAAATGTTTCATACTGTTCAATTTGTGCAAAGACATCTAATTCCAGAGCATCAAGATGAGACAGAGATACAATGCCTCAGTGTTTACACTGGGCTATTATTCTAACTAGCTCTCTGAAGGCTGGGTGATCAAATGCTTACAAGACAAATCTATGCTATGAAGCATATACTCCTGAAAACATAAAGCAGTTAAAACATTATTTAACCTCAGTTGATGGTTGTGTTCATGAAAAGTAGTGAATTTTGATAAATCAATTCCAATCAAACTTTAAGAATACTGAGAGGGTATTCTGCTAAAAGCAGTCAATACCCTCCATTTTTTAAAGACATAGACTCGTTTCCTCAGAAAATAACATATACATGTAAACAAAAAGAGTTTCATATAATTTCAGGAGGTCCTGTGCCCCAAATACAGAGTCCATCACCTTGAAGGAACTCACAGTTAAAAGGCACTAACAATACTTTTTGAAATCAATAAATTGATAAAAGCCTAATTTTTCAATATTATAAATTTGTATTGTTCAATATCAGATTTATGTAAAGCGGCATTTGCTTTAGCCTGCTTAGGATGCAGTCTTGTGGTTTAGAATTTTAAGTAAACAGACTCACAGGTGATCATTAGTAAGTGCCTGAGACACATCTGTACCTTTCTCAAGAATTCCTTACCAGTGTGTGTTTTCATGTGCTCGTCGAAGTACTGCTTCATGTTGAAGTCCTTGCCGCACCACTGGCACATGAACTGCTTGTGCCCGATGTGGATGCTCATGTGGGAGCGGAGCTGGTACTTGTACTGAAACCTTTCGTCACAGTTCTGCATTGGACACAGTGGAGACTTTTGAATGCCAGGCATAGCAGCTTTACTTGCGCCCACCCTATATAGTCTGAGATTAGGCTTATTTTTCATACTCAGAATAGAACCTACTTGTGTCCAAATGTTTGGCTCTGCTGTATTTCCAGGCTGAGTTATTAATAAAGGGGAACATTTCTTAAGTAATTATCACTGAAGTATATCCAACTTCTCTGAATTAGTGAGAAATGTACAATAATTCATCATGTGTTAGTCCCAATTTTAACCTAATCTAAGTAAGTCAACACCGTGTTAGAAATGACTGCTCTTTACCCAGAAGTGAGCTAACAACACACTGCGCTCAGCACACAGGTCTGATGGTTCCGTGCAAACGCATGCCTTTCTCCCACGGCTCACCACGAATACACACACACAAGCCAGCCCCCACAGCTGGGCCTGGTGGGCAGCCCAGGCCTTACCTCACACCTGAAGGGCTTCTCTCCAGAGTGCTGCAAGGAGTGCACCTTGAGTGACATACTGCGTTTGAATGACTTTCCGCAGGTTTCACAGGTAAATGGCATGTCTTTTGTATGTGCTGCAACACAGAACGCACTTATGCTCAAAATCAGTTCACCAAAAGGCTCAAACTGGAAGAGAGCTATGTTCTGCTGTAAGGACATCTTAATTTACTACTCTCTAATCTGTGAGGCTCTAACAGCGAAGATGAAAGAATAACAATGTTGAAAAGAAACCTGGGTGCGGAAGACTCTACCATCCAATCTGGTGATGCTTACCGAAGACATGTTGCATTTGGTTTCAACAAGTCAAAACTGATTCAAGTAAGGCAGTTTCTCATATCCTGCCCAATTCAAAGCATAAAACACACCAAAGAACAAGGGAAAATTATAGGTGTTAGAGAAAAGCAACTTACCAACCATATGTTTCCGTACATGAGCCATGGTATAGAATTTCTTCTCACAAATTTCACAGGAAAATTTCTTTTCTGCATATCCATGGACAATCTTGATATGTTCATGAAGGGACCAGAGTTTCTTGAACGATTTATTACAGGAAACACACTAAGCAGGATAAACAGAAACAATCTTTATTTATAGGGGTTTCCAGACGCCTCACCTGTGGCCCAGCAGCTGAAACTGGCCAAGGTGAATGGGTTGCAGTATTATAGTTCCTTCGACCAAGGACTGAACCCCGGACACCGCGTAAAAGTGCAGAGTGCTAACCACTGGACTGCCAGGGAAGTCCCATGAAGTGGGTGTGCTTTGGATTTGTGGCACAGACCAGAATCCAAACAAATGCTATTCTTCCATGAAGTCCAGATTTCAAAACCAACATCTTTATGTTCCATTTCCTAAGATGAATTTTTTAGAGACACTTTGGGAGTATGAAAACAATGACAAAAAGTAAGACAAAAGGAAATGCAAAGTTCCACTAATATCAAAGAATTGACTGCTTTTATCAAATTAGTATTGTACCTTTGAAAAGAACCTTCAAGTTTTGTTTTTTGTAAAATATGGATTACTGTAAGCAGCTCTTTCCTACACATGGGTTACTATGCAGTTAATATGTGTTTACCAGAGAATACAAACTAATTTTAAATTAACATAAAAGCAAGATAAAACAAAGCATACGTGAATGGTCATAGATCTACAGAAGAATAACAATATTTTTGTAGCTTAACGAACATACTCAGAGTTTTCATTAATACAAACTACTGAGATTTTACTATATTTTCCTAATTAACATTTCCCTCTGGCAGAATTTAACATAACCCCTCAGCTGCTGGCATCCTCCCTTTTCCTGAGGAGCTCAGATCCAGATCTCACACAGGCATCTGTAGGAGACACAGGCAATCCACCTACTGCCCTGTATTATGCATCATTACTAGTCTAAGATATCATAACATGTATCAAAATAAAATACTTCTGGTTAAAAACAGTATTAGGAAGTTCCAGGTAACCATCAGACTCTGTAATACATAAGGGAAAAAGTTGTTACTTGCTGCAAAATTGAATAAACATCTCTAAACACACTGTCACTTCAGGAAATGAGGACCAAGAAGAGTCACAGAGATAAGTCTCTAGCTGGATACTGCTGGAGGAAAGGACAGACAAACCCTATAAGCCACTCATTCTGTAGGGCACAGTTTTAACTTTTACTAGTTATTAGGTCATCAGGATGAGAAATGCAAAACAAGTTCATTCAGCAAAATCCACAAAACTTAAATTATAAGTTTAAATGAAATTACGGTGAGGAACAGTGAATTCAGTCACACAAATAAAGGATTTATTAAATGTTTTCTTTTCTGCATTTCTTGTTGTTGTTTAGTCACTAAGTTGTGTCTGACTCTTTGGGACCCCATGGACTGCAGCCTGCCAGGCTCCTCTGTCCATGGGATTTCCCAGTCAAGAATATTGGAGTGGGTTGCCATTTCCTTCTCTAAAGGATCTTCCTGACCCAGGGATTGAATCCGCATCTCCTGCACTGGCAGGCACTGGCATGCGGATTTTTAATCAGCAGAGCTACCAAGAAAGCCCCTTCTGTACTTAATGAAGCAAAGTTAAAAGAAAAAAACACAAAAAACAACTACACAAAGATCCAGATTAAGAGACACCTTTTCAGCAATGAATCATTACAGAACTAAGTTTGACCCCTAGGGTGCAGCACAGCATCGCACTTCCTCTGGCCTGAACTGATGCAACCAACTGAGAACCAAGCCCCGGCACCAGGAGTTACTGAATGACAGGCGCTAAGATTCAGTCTTCTTTTATTTACCAAGTATGTCAGAGGTCAAGTCACATCTGATGAATCAAAATGCAGTGAATTTTTAGCAAATATCATTTACACATATATTTATCTGTACTTTATTTTTGGCAGCGCTGGGTCTTCGTTGCTGCGTGGGCTTTTCTCTAGTGTGGAGAGCGGGGGCTACTCTCTAGCGCAGTCAGTGCTCAGGCTTCTCACTGTGGTGGCTTCTCTTGTTGCAAAGCACGGGCTCTAGGCCACAAGGGTTTCAACAGTTGCGGCACATGGGCTTAGCAGTTGTGACTCTGGGGCTCTAGAGCACAGGCTCAATAGTTGTGGCACACGGGATTAGCTGTGGCATGTGGGATCTTCCTGGATCAGGGATCAAACCCATGTCTCCTGCATTGGCAGGCAGATTCTCCACTACTGAGCCAGTGGAGAAGCCCCTAATTTATATTTTTTAAAAACCTCTTTAAAGTAATGATTTCAGTTGCTGATTAAAAACAAGAAAGAAAAATGAAAAATAAGGAATATTCCAAATCAGGAGTACTCCAAGAAACACACTGAAACCAAACGATTTCATCTTCTACAAGAAGTTCAGCTTACGTATGGTACAAGAAATCTCTATTTTACATATCTTTTGGAGACATTAATACACTTACCTTTCATGAATGTTCATATTCATAAATATGCACTTACATGTGCAAACCAACATAGCTCAACATAATATAGTTCACACAACATGATATAATTAGCACACCTCTTAACCTATCACAATACAGTCCTTTCAAGAAAGACATCAACCTGGTTTGAATACCATGTTTTGTTATGTTAATACTACACAGTAGCATTATATAAGCCTACCGCCTACCAGGTAGGCAATATGTTCAATCAGCTCAGCCTCCTTTAAAGTTTGCATATTCCCATGAGCTTAGCCTCTTGACAAATTTAGTGCTGTTATCTCTCCACTGCTTTAGAAGCAAACTCACTCCTGGAGATCTTCCATTTCCACCAGTCTGAGTCATTATGGTTTTTGTCCCCAACAGCTGCACTAGAGCCTGGCATCCTTTCAAACCTTAGAAAAGGACCTCTCTCTACTCCTGACTTTTACTTGGCATCTCCCACCTTGACAGCGAAGACACCAGAATGAACTACATTACATGTCCTACAAGAGTAAATCTCAGTGCCAAGTCGGTGTTGACTTTACCTCCTTGTCAATCACCTATAACGGATTCCCCTTTCCAATGGACCTGGGTTCCCACTAGTCCAGCGTCGGTTAAATTTATGCTTTTGAAAGAAAATGTTAAGCCTGGTTTTGAAAATACCAAAGCAGGGGCTTTAAAAAAAAAGATAAATTGGTGAAAACTGTCCCTTCAGCCTCTATTATATTTATTCTCTTGGGCAGATACCAGGTCAGTCTGAAACAGCCAGGTTCTATCCTGGAAAGTTTGCCCTCTTGGTGATAAGACCTACCTGAATATTTTTTTCACAGTCTGTTTGCTGGTGAAGGGACAGCTCACTTTCCAGGACAAACTTCTTGCCACACTTATCACAAATCTGCATGCGCCTATGAGTAACGTTCATGTGCTTCTCCAGGTACCAGCGAGTATTAAACACCCTGGGGCACTTCTCACAGGTCAGAGTCTCTTTCTCTTCACACTTAGCTTTCTGGACTGGTGCTTTGGGCTCCTTTGTGGCCCGCTTCTTACGCTTAGGAGGCTCTACACTCTTCCTACGACCTCTCGTAGCTCTGGGAGTAGGGGAAGTGGCAGCTGCGGCAACAGAGGCAGCTCTCCTGGTTCTCCTCTGTGTAACGCTGACCTTCTCCACCGTCTTCTCCTTTTTCTTCTGCCTTTCATTCTCTCCATAGTCATTGCTGTCATCCGTGGCCTCTTCCTCACTCTCTTCCTCTTCCTCCTCGCTGCTTGTCTTAAGAACAGGAGTCTCTTTGGACTGAGAAGAGACACCCTTTTCCCCTTTAGACACATTTAACGTTTGATTATTAAGGTTTACCTCCACTATGATCTGCTCCCTTTTGTAGGAGACTTCCTCCTCCTCCTCCTCTTCTGTGTCATCAGAATTCTCTCGGTCTTCTTTAACACCGTGCACGTCAGACACTGCTCTTGTCTCCCTGAAATACGGCTGCTCCTCTGTTTCATGGAGATGTGGCTTGCTCATCTTGGTGTCCACTAACACAGAATAAGGACTTCCTGATTCCCTTTTGTACACTTTGGTGGACAGGTCGAGTTCTTGGTTGGCACCATGATAAAAGGAAGATGGCACTTGACCACGACGGCTATCTTCTTGTGCCATTCCTGCTACGTGCACAGCACGGTTTTCAACCAGCTCCTGACAAGAACTGGCTGTGTGGCTCATTAGTAAGTGGCCTAATTTATTAAGCAGTTCAGACTATAGAGAATAGGCTTAAAACAGGGTAATTATTAAGACTCAAATCTTTTTCCATCCAACGAAGAATCACTCAAATGGGGCGGGGGGGGGGGTAATTCCTGGAACCTGTGTGCAATTCTTCCAGTGTGTTGCAGCACCAATGCATAAGTCAAAAGGTTTGGTATTATGGCAAGAGCAGAGCACTAGTGATTTTCCTTTTGCAGAGAGCTGCAAGTGACTTGGAGCATCTTATCTGCAAAGAAAAGCAAAGAGAAAAAAGATCAGATATTTCTTATTTCCTTCTTATAGCATGCACTGACATCATACAACAAACATACCTTAAATGATTAAACTCTTTATATACACAATTCTTTATCCTGCTCAAATGGTTCAGTGTGGGCCATAATTTTACTGCATTACATGAATTCAACAAACATTTTGTTAGAATGTAAACTCTAAGACAGCAGGAGTCATTATCTGTCCCATTCACTGAGATATCCTTAGAGCTTAGCACAGTGACTACCAGCACTTAGCTGGTACTCATTACATACTTAATGATGCTTAGTGAGCATCTCTTTTTGCACAACAGTCATTATCCTGGACATACTGACATGGCAGAAAATATGGTCCATGTCCACAAGGTTTACAGTTTAGATAAGGCTTACAGTCTAGATACACAGTATGTGAGGTCCATGAAATACATAAGAACCTCATGCTGGCTGGCTTTCTTTTCAACATCAGACACCACCATCCATCACAGTGAGAGCTTAAGGAACAAAGGTAGTAGTGGTCTAGGCACTGTGGACCAGAAAAATAAAGCAGCTAACTGACATAACAAGAGAAGAGAGAGAGATATCCCTGGCCTTAAGTAATTTATAATTGAGGTATAGATATCATTGTTTTCAGGTTTATTAGAGTAATTTCAAAGTTGCTAGGTATTTTAAAATTTGTTCTATGCATAGCTCTCTAGATTCACTCAATAGCCAGATGATTTTCATGTGTCAGCTGTACAGAAGTCTAAATTCTAAGAAACAATAACCATAAAGCTGATATGGTTCCAGGAAAAATAAAATCATACATTAAAAAAAAAGATGAGAAGGGTGCATAATTTGCTTTGTGACGTACCTCACATTGCTGCTTAGCCAACCACTTAACTTCTGAGTCACATAAATATTAACTACAGGCACATACTCTGTCTAATTAACAAAAGGAAGGAAGCTAGTACTTACTGAATACCTGCTATGTGCACAAACACTGTAAAGGTGCTCATTATTTGTTATTTCTATTTAATGCCTACTACAAAACTTTGGGGTGATTTTTAAACTTATTTTAAATCTTTCATCAAAGTAATCACTAATAAAAAAGCATCCGCAGTTTTACAAATCAAATATACTGCAAGGTTTATAACAAAAGCAGCCATCCTCTACCTACTTCATCCCATCTGAGTCCTTTCCCAGAGACAAAAGTGTTTCTTTTAGCTGTTCCGCTTCCTTTTCCCCCTGTATTTACTTTTATATTTCTAAATAATGTGGTTATATTTCTTTTCTTTTTTTTTTGGCTGTGCCACATGGCATGTAGAATCTTAGATCTCCCATCAGGGGCTGAGATGGGGCCCTTGACAGTAGAAGGGTAGAGTCTTAACTACCAGACCACCAGGGAAATCCCTGTGATGATATTTCTATTGCATGACTCCCCCCCGCCCNCCCCCCCCCCCCCCCCCCCCCCCCCCCCCCCCCCCCCCCCCCCCCCCCCCAGTTTTAGACACTACCACTTATCTCCCACTATAGTTTTCTTACCTTAATGCTCTCAACTCTCCTTTGATCCTCCCAATATAGTTGTATCACTTTTTTATAAAGTATTTATTGCTTACATTATTATGACTATAATAAGTAATTCACAACTATTTCTATCATTCCTCTGCTACTGTCTCTCTTCCATTGTCTAAAAAATTATTTGAGGGAATTCCCTGGTGGTTCAGTGTTAGGATGCTGTGTTTTCACTGTCAAGGGCCCGGGTTCAATCCCTGGTTGGGGAACTAAGATTCCATAAGCCGTGTGGCATGGCCAAATAAATTAATTAATTAACTTTAAAAAATATATTTTACTTTCATTTTAGTAGAATTTCAGAAAGGAGCAGTGATAAATGCCACCGTGCTTTACTTGACATCTGAATAAATAAATAAATAAATATATATATATATATACTTCTTTGTATTTATAAAAGAGGAAATTATGTCTATGAGAGGTTAAATAATTTGTCTAAGATCACGTATCTGTTAAATGATAGAAGCAATATTTGACCCCAGGCCTGCCTGACTCCAAAGCTTTATTTCTACTATGACAGATGACATTCCAAAATAATTTAAACTCAACTCTTCCTGTAACCATATAGCTTTTTAATCAGTTTTGTACCTTGTATTTTAAGTAGGAAAATCACAGTAGCTTTATTTTACATTGCCCAAACTTCTGAAATAATGTAAACTACTACAAGTACCAGTAAATAAAACTTACCCACATTAATTATCTCAAATTAAGCAAGGGAAGAGGGACAGTAAAATTCAATTAGCCAGCAAAAAATAGGAATAGAACAAAATCATGAAGAAAAATAAATGAAAGGATGTCCTCTATGGTAGTCATTAATGTGTTCTTCCCAAATATCCTGGCCCTCAGCCTTCTGGACACAGGACAGGCCTGTACTCTCTGACTCTGCCCTCCCCAGGAGCTGGGAGGGGCACGTGACTACTTCCGGCCAGTACAGCTGAGTAGAAGTGACACGTGGACGAGCAACATGAGACCCTCCAGGCCTTCCTCCCACTGGGACAGCGACCAGCAACCCTCAAAGTGATGACTGCTATGGCTGCCATCAGCCTAGGACCCTGAGTAACAAAATGACCCGCAGGATATGCACAGTGCAGCAATCATTAAAATTCTTTTGTATTTTAACTTGAGGGAGAACATGTTTTCAAAGCCACTGAGATCTTGTGTTGTTTATTACTGCAGCATAACCTGGGTCTCTCCTAGCTGAATCAGGTGGAATCCAGAAGTGTGGTACTGTCTCATCAAAAAACCTAAAGTATATGGTGAAGGCTAAGGAGCTAGGGAGAAGGAGGTAAGGAAAAACTTATCAGAGGCTAAAAGGATAGCAGCTCATAATGTGCAGTGGTGAAGAGAGCTAATATGCCTTGAGAATTTATAGCTCTAGTGGGAAAATGGACCATTAAGAGATTGTGTTGGTTACTGCTGGCTGCATTTAACAAATTATTGGATGAATTCAGAAAAGAATTCATCAGTTTCCAGTGATTTGTGGGGTCAGAACAATCAAGTGCTTAACCCCAAACTGAGAAGGTCTCTGAGCTACAAATGCTGATCAGAGTTCAGTCTTGAGAGAAGAATCAAGTCAAAGATTTGGCCTTTACAACCACTGATAAAACCTCCCAATTGATTAAGGTACTGCTGAATGAAACAGCTTTTCTAAAAAAAGACTGAAGAGGGGTTCTCTCATCAAAACAGCCTCTTAGTCTGTTTTGCTACTAAGCATGTTGCTTTGATGTGAATTAGTTCAAATGCTATTAGTAAATAAGGAAATGATGTCAATATAACACAGAAGTTAAGTTGGTTTATATGCACTTTTCTCTTGTTGGAAGTAACCAGGAAAAAGCTTTCCCAAATTTAAAAGAAAGCCTTAGCAATATATGAAAACACCAAGAACGAAGCTAAATATCCCACTTATGTACCTTCCTTTAATGCAAGTCGTGGCTGATTTAGCTGCTTCATGAACCACTGCATTTTCCATTTTATATCTGGTGAAGCTGAGGATATATGTTTCTCCTCCTGTGTTTAAAGAAGAAAGTTTTTGATTGCTGATTCATACACCACACCACAGATCAAATTTTTACTGTAATGAAATTAGTTTCTATTATAAGTGAATGTCTTCAAGACCCCAAAGTCTCAGAGGAAGAAACAAGCATTCCAGAGACTGAGTCTGTAAAGCTTCAGCCAACTGATGCTGACTGCATATGCCAGTGGAGATTTAATATGCTATTGTTTTTATTTTAATTACTTTGTTTTAACTAGTGCACTGGTTACAGTGGTCCACAGATTTTGAGTCTGCACAATCCTATTTTTTCCCATAAGCCCTGTTTATTTTAGTGTGCAATTTTGCAGAATTCAGGAAAGCATATATGGCATTATAGCAGAAATACCAGTACTCAAAATTAAGTCAAGAAAGAAGTATGACACCAATAAGACAGAGCCACACAACAAATCTATGAATTTATGGTTAGAAAGAATTGCGGAAGCGGCTAGGGCACATGGACATGACTGGAAACAAATAAGTAAAAAGCCAACTAAGTTTTTGAGGGTTATACTGTTAAAAGGACCATCAGCCTACACTTGAGAGGCTGTGACTATTCAAGACGTTTTCTTTCTTTTTGGCCGTACCATGTGGCATGTAGAATTTCCCTGACCAGGGGATCAACCCCATGCCCTCCTCAGTGGAAGCGGAATCTTAACCACTTGACCACCAGGGAAGTACTCAAGACTTCCAGAAACGATCTTTGGGTTCCCAAGCATCCATGGCAGGAGGTGGATTAAAAAAGCTGTTCATCCCCTTAAGGGGGAATATTCCCCATTGTCCGTTTGGGATACAGCCAAGGAACACAACAGGAAAAAAGGAGGATCAAGAAGATTAAGCCAGGGAGCAAAGAAAGAGCAGACAATTGAGTTAAGGAGCAAACTCGGGATCTCGTCAAGAACATTCACCATCCCTGGAGGGGTCCCCTCAATGACTGTTCAGAGGGACTGCAGTATTTGTTGTATGTCTCCTGTTCGTCCCCTTTTCAAATGGGAGTTTTTGGTTTTTTTTATCATCCTGCCACTAGTCACCACTGTACATTGTTTGTGAGGGCAGGCAATCATTTGTCAATTTTTTTCTTAAGTCTATGGATCAAAAAGAGCAACATTTGGGCCCTGTGTAGAGACGACTATGCATCATCTCCTCACGAACAGACCACCAGGATCACATCCTTGCATCCGCTCGGAGATCCTGGACTTCAAGCTTAATGCCATGATTGGATAGGAACTTGGGTTTCCTACCTGGGGAGGAAGTGAGTATATTTTTCCCGTGTGAGAGAGTAGATCAACTAACTGGTGGCCAAAAGAAAGGTGCTATTAATCAAATATTTTCAGCTGTCTGCCTGGCATAGGCATGTTATGTTTCCTGGCCCTGCCTAGTTACATGGGACCATCGTGTTGCGAAATAAGCAATGTGAGTCACTTCTGAGCTAATGAGAGACCCTCTGGACTTCATTTCCCTCTTAGCATGATGACCAGTAGAGTACAAAAAGGTGGCTGGTTGTTCCATCAGCCTGGATTACGGCGTGACACAAGCGGAGCTCCCCTGCTGATCTATCACAGCCACGAAGTGAGAACAAAAATTCCTTCCCTGTTTTAGTGAACCAGATTGTGACACGGTTTGTTATGTAACACAACATAGCTGATGCAGTTCTTTATGAATATATATACATACATCAATGGTTTCAGTCTTAAGCTAGACAGGCAGAATTGCTAGGTGAAAGTTAAAAAATCAGAAAGATAATGAGATTAATTCTCTACTTAATAAGTTAGAAAATAAGACTTTTCCTTCTTTAAAAAAAAACTAGACTTAAAGGGCTTTATTCTATTTTTTTTGTGGGGGTGGTGCTGCATGGCTTGTGGAATCTTAGCTTCCTGAGCAGGGATTGAACCTGGGTCCTGGAAGTGAAAGCACTGAATCTTGACTGCTGGACACCAGGGAATACCCCTCCCCTCCTTTTTTTGCTTTATTCTATTTTTAATGACGTACACATATATGGGAGTTTCCCTGGTGGCTGCAGTACAAGAGATACAGGTTCGATCCCTGGGTCAGGAAGATGCCCTACAGAAGGAAATGGCAACCCAGTCCAGTATTCTTGCCTGGGAAATCCCACGGACAGAGGAGCCTGGCAGGTTACAGTCCATGGGGTTGCAAAAGAGTAGGACACAGTACACTTCAGTCGCTCAATTGTGTCCGACTCTTTTCGACCCATGAACCACAGCACGCCAGGCCTCCCTATCCATCACCAGCTTACCTACTAAAATTAGCAACACATATATGGATTCCCATATGAAACTGAAAGTGACATCTCACTATTAATAAAATCAGGAGAGCTCACAGAAACATCAATAAATGACACTGTTACAATATAAGAGGCAGTCTAATGGTTCACTCTGAAATACATATGGGCCTTCTGCTCACATTTTACTTTCTTAATTTGATTTTGGCACCTTTTCCCTTGTCTGAGTTTTGATGATAATCTTCCTGAATTTTCTTTCCAGAAAACTTAAAAATATCTCATAAGGGCACAAATGAGTAACTTTTAAAAAATCCAAAACCACATTAGAGAAATTAAAACCTTCCATGTTCCATTATCCAACTCTTCGTGTGTAACTGAGGATAGAGTTCTATCCTTGCTTATAGAGTAAGAGTTCTAACTTACCTATTACAGACCATCTTAACTTAGTTTTTAAGAAGACAAAGTGAATATATTGAGCTCTAAGAAACTAAAGATAGAAGAGGCAAATGAGAAATAACCTTCACTGACATTTAAAGCTGTTATATAGTATTAAAACAATGTAAGTCCATCAGTTCTTAAAGATAATTTTCTAAATTGTCATAAAATAAATTCCAAAATAAAGTGGGTCATTCTTTAGTGTTTTGTTATAATGAATGTATATAACTTGGGGGAAAATGTGGTGTGTATGTCAGGGGTACACAAGCTGAGAAGCAGTCAGCCCTGGTACTCTGTAAGTTGGACCAGCTATCGGGAAGAAAATACAATTTTTTTTAAAAGTTACAAAATATGTCAGCATATATATAGATAGTAAAGTACAGCTTCCAGAACGTGCTTTTTTTCAATGCCATTTTCGCCCAAGTGTACTACAAAGTAAGTTTATGCAGCCCTCAAGGGTGTTTATTTGAATTTAGTTTTAAAAGGAAAATAATTACTTTGTTCCCTGAAAATTTTAAGTTAATTTCAACAAATTTAACTTTTTTTTTTTTCCTACTAAAATATGTACCTGTGCATTCTCCTTTTATGTTAAAAAGATTCTATTTGCGATGAGTCTTTTCAAGTTGAAAAGGCAATCTTGTAAGGTCTATCAATCTGGTACCTCAGCTTTGCTTACTCCACACTCCACTTCCTTTGGAGCAATGGCCCGACCTGTTTCCAAAGCTCAAACCACCCATGTGCTGCCAGACCCTGGTCCTGCCAAATGGAGATTTCTAAAGTACACAACTACCTACAAGGCTCAGGCCAAAACTAAAACCACCAAGAAATGGAAAGGAAAAAGGAGGGAGAGATAAATATGTATCAGCAAAGTTCTTTTGAAAAATAATTCATTAGAAAGAATGGACAAGATGGGTTTGTGATAGCAAGGGTCTGATGTTTTGGTCAAAGCTTTCTTGCTCTTGCTTAAGGTTATTCATTTTTTTCTTATTGGGAAAGTATGTTAGTGACACATTTATCAAATAACAACTAATCTCAAAGTCTTTGGATGGTCAAGTAATTATTTAACAACTATTAATTATATGTTTAATATGAATTTAAAAAGCAGAAACCTGAAAGTCTGGAAGATAAATTGCATTCAGGTGGTAAAATCAGGAAAGTTCTGTGAAGGATAGTACATTTCAGGAAAACCTGAAAGGCAGGCAGGTTTCAGACTGGCAGAAATGAAGGCAGAAGAAGTCATTTCTAGCATAGGGAAATAAGAATGGGCTAACAGTGAGGTATACTCTTGAACAAGAGACAGTATAAGTTGTTTAGTTTTACTAGAATATAGAGCTTGAGCAACAGAGAGATGGCAAGATAGGGGAGTTATTGCCATATAGTGACAAACCTTAAACCCGGGGCTGAAGAGTTTGTAGTTAGTATGGATGACAAGACAGAGCAAAGGTTTTCCAAGAAGGAACTAATATAATTAGAGTCGTGTTTTAGGGGTCAAATTGTATCATAACAAACAACTGTAGACTTATATTTCAGTATGTCTTTGAAATATATACATATGTGCCCGGCTCAGTTGCTCAGTCGTGTCTGACTCTTTGAGACCCCATGGACTGTAGCTGCCAGGCTCCCCTGTCCATGGGCGTTCTCCAGGCAAGAATACTGGAGTAGGTTGCCATGGCCTCCTCCAGTCTCCCGCATTGCAGGTGGATTCTTTACCCTCTGAGCCACCAGGGAAGCCCAAGAATACTGGAGTGGGTAGCCTATCCCTTCTCCAGGGAAACTTCCCAACCCAGGAATCGAACCAGAGTCTCCTGCATTGCAGGAGGATTCTTTACCAGCTGAGCTGACCAGGAAGCCCAACATATACATGGTAAAACAAATACACAATTAAGCAAAATAGAATAAATTTAAAATATGTAACTAAATTGAAGTAGAAAAAAACTGAAGTAGGAAAATAAGATAATACTAGGAATTAGTGTAAAAACAAAATGAAAACACAATTTTATTCTAAATCCTATATTAGTACAGACTAAAATTTAAAATATCCAAATGGCAACTTTAAAGAGTTCTTTACAAGAATGCATTCTTTATGAAATAATTAATGCCCTACTTAGTGATTAAACTGAGTTTAAGACTCATGTTCACACTAAAACCTTTATACACACACACACACACACACACACACACACACACACACAATACAGCAGGTTCTACTTTCAGTAGGCCTAACATAAGTGAAATCTTACCATGTCCTGTTTTTTCCTTAAAAATAATCTGTGAAAGCAGCCACTATGAAAAACAGTATGGTGA